CCTGCCACAACGCCTGGCTATTTTTTGGTTGCAGCCATTATTGTTATTTGGCGGGCCCGGGCTGGATTCGAACCCACCACCTTAGGTGTATGTGGCTGGCGCCTTAGCCGCTTGAGCCACAGGTGCCGAGTTGAGAGATTACATTTTAAATTCTATACCTAAGTTAAAAAATACTCTGGAGAGTTCAAAGAGCCATAAAGGTGAGGGCTATATAGTGGAGATTTGCCCAAATGAAGGCAAATTGCCTTAGAATTTCTTCCAAAATTGAAATGAAAAAGAAATTATTGGGTACTTTTTGGTCATTTCCAGCTTGTTGCAATTTTTGAATAATTTTGTCTCATCTGGTACAGTGGAGATCATTTATAGGGCTATATTTTGCCCTTAATAATCCATGATTAATCTTTTTTTCCATGATTAATATTTAGGAGCAATTCACATCCTTAAAAACCCCTTAACTCCTCTTTAATTAATAAATTTTACATTTTAGAGCAATGAGCAGAAAATAGTTTCTCCTTACTACCTTCCCCTCCTCCTCAAACACAGTTTCCCTTATTATTATTATCTTGCACTAGTGAGGTGCCCTTGTTATAATTGATGACATAATGTTGATATACTATTATTTGCTAAAATCTATAGTTTCCATTAGGGTTCACTCTGTGTGTGGTATATTCTATGGGTTTTGACAAGTATGTGATGACATGTATCCACAACTATTATATCATATGGAGTAATTTTATTGCTCTAAAGATCCCCTGCAATCTACCAACTCATCTCTCCCTCCCCAGTGACTTCTGGAGACTCTTGATCCCTTTACTTCCATAGTTTTGCCTTTTCCAGGATTTCCTGTAGTTGGAATCATACAATATATAGCATTTTCAGATTTGATTCTATTGCTTACTGATATGCATTTAAGGTTCTTCCATGTCTTTAAATGGCCTGGTAATAGCTCATTTCCTTTTAGTGTTGAATAATATTCTATGATCTGGATCAGGGGTCCTCAAACTTTTTAAAAAGGGAGCTAGTTCACTGTCCCTCAGACCGTTGGAGGGCTACACTGTGGCCCTGGGACTAGTTGACTGCTCAGCAGGACAGGCAGTGGTGGCAAAAACACCCTGCGGGCCGCCGGATAAATGTCCTTCGTGGGCCACATGTGGCCCACGGGCCTTAGTTTGAGGACACCTGATCTGGATGTACCACAGTATGTAAATTTATTCATTCATTTACTAAGGGATGTTTTGATTACAAGATTTGACTGTTAGGAATAAAGTTGCTATAAACATTTGTATATAGGCTTTTGTGAGGACAAAAGTTTTCAACTCATTTGGGTAAATACCTAGGAATGTGATTGCTGTAACCTATGGTAAGAGGATGTTTAGTTTTTTAAAAAAACTTTTGAACTGTCTTCCAGAGTAGCTATTCCATTTTGCATTCCCACTAGGAGTGAATGAAAGTTTTTATTGCTCCACATCCTTGCCAGCATTTGGTGTTGTCAGCGTTCTGGGTTTTGGTGTGCAGTAATATCTCTTTGTTTTAATTTGGAATTACTAATAAAGCATAATGATATTGAGACTCTTTCCATATGGCCTATTTGACGTTCCATATCATCTCTGATAGGTGTCTGTTCAGATCTTTTGCCCATTTTTAGTTGGGTTGTTGGTTTTCTCACTGTTGTACCTTTAAAGTTATTTGTGTATTTCAGATAGCACTCTTTTATTACTGTGATCAGACGTAAATACTAAAGCTAACATACTCTCTAGATTTATAATTAGTAAAAATTTTAATGACGTTAATTATATTTACATATTTACAAATGACAACAGAGGCTCCTTTCTCCTATGCCCCATGGATTACACAATCCCTGAGGGGAAGTTCACATTTACTATCTTAAATTAGGGTGTAAACACAAGCATCATAATTCCTTCCCTGAAGTGTTTATTATATAGGGGAGGTCCTAGGAGAGATCCAATCCTGGATTTCTCATCACACCCCAAAATTTATAAGCCTTAAGCAAATGCTGTGTGATGTATGACACGGTGCCTTTGGTGTCCAGGCTGTGCTTTTACTTTTCATCCTTTTGGAAGATTGATAAATAGACGTTTCATCAACACCTTGGAATGACTCCTGGAACATTCACATTGTAAGATCTATGCTTAATGTTCTTACCAGCCAAGGGATAAGGAGATTCTGTGATTACATCTGATCAGCTGTGATACCTACAAAGCCAGTTCTTCCTCCAGGACAGTGGAGGTGAAACACAAGAAAGGTCAGCACTGAGTGGGAGGAGGGGGAAGTAATCAAGTTTCCATTCTCTCTCTCCTGTATGTTGCAAAAAATGAGCAAGGGTATTATACTGGATAATAAGGAACTCTGAGCTCCAAGTCTACTGCAGGCATTTCTCTTATCATACATTCTTTGTGTTGGCTTCATCCTTCAGTCTGGTAGAAAGATAGGCATGGCAGTTCCAGCAGACACATCCAGAACATAGTAGCATGGGGGAAGGAGAGGAGATTTGTCTCTTTCTTTAAAAAAAAAATTAAGATGTGATATACATACAGAAGAGATTAAATGTCATAAGAATATAGTTTGGTAAATGTTAACAAACTTAGTACCTAAGATAACTAGCATCCAAATTAATTATGTTTCTCTCACACCATCCTACAAGGACCTATGAAACACATTCACCTTCCTTTCTTCCTTCTGTCTAGCCCAGATGGAATAGAGAAGAATGTGTAGAAATACTGGGTGGTATGGTTCATTATAAACCTTAGGCTGCCAAGGGTCTCTTCAATACCTGTTAACAATTATTGACTTCACAGATTCTTATAGTAAGATATTGAATCCCTGTAGGTGGTGAGAGATTCCTGCCTTGGAAGCAGAATGTCACTTCAGTCTCTGCCCTAAAGGAATCCTCTCTGAGTTGATGGTCATCACAGGGAAATAAGGTCTCTAGTAGAATAAGGGAAACGTGGGAGGAACTAGGGAGTGAAGATGAGAGGAGAGACGAGAGACACATCCCACAACCCAAGCTCATCGGCAGGCAGGCTTGTACTTCAGCTACTTCACCTCACTATCTTCTAGTAAGAACAGAGGTAAATATCACATTCATGCAGACAAAAACGGAGTGGCTGACATTTTGAGGGGCGGGTGTGTCCGTATATTCAGACCCCATGAAACAAAGGAGAACTTATCTAAATGTTGAGCCCCCTCTTCATAAATGAGAGTCTGTAAGGAGAGAGCTGGGTTCTCTATTAATGGAATTTTCTTCTGTTCTCCCAGATTTTTGAAGATGCAAATGCTGACTAGGAATGATTCCTTAGTGACTGAATTCATTCTTGCTGGATTAACAGATCGTCCAGAGCTCCAACAACCCCTCTTTTGCCTGTTTCTGATGATCTACATTTTCACAATGGTGGGCAACCTTGGCTTGATCACTCTTATTGGTCTGAATTCTCACCTCCACACCCCCATGTACTATTTCCTCTTCAACCTCTCCTTCATTGATCTCTGTTATTCTTCTGTTTTCACTCCCAAAATGCTGATGAACTTTGTATCAAAGAAGAATACCATCTCCTATGCTGGGTGCATGACTCAGCTGTTTTTCTTTCTCTTTTTTGTCATCTCTGAATGCTATATGTTGACCTCAATGGCCTATGATCGCTATGTGGCCATCTGTAATCCATTGCTGTATAAGGTCACTATGTCCCATCATGCCTGTTCTGTGCTCACTTTTGCTGCTTACCTACTGGGATTTGCTGGAGCCACTGCCCACACAGGGTGCATGCTTAGACTAAACTTCTGCAATGCTAATGTCATCAACCATTACTTGTGCGACATACTCCCCCTGCTCCAACTTTCTTGTACCAGCACCTATGTCAATGAGGTAGTAGTTCTCGTTGTTGTGGGTATTAATATCACAGCACCCAGTTTTACTATTCTAATTTCTTACATTTTTATCCTCACTAGCATTCTTCATATCAAATCTGCCCAAGGAAGATCAAAAGCCTTCAGTACTTGCAGCTCTCACATCATTGCTCTTTTCCTCTTTTTTGGGTCAGCAGCATTCATGTACCTTACATATTCTCCTGGATCTATGGACCAGGGAAAAGTTTCTTCTGTTTTCTATACTAACGTAGGGCCCATGCTCAATCCCTTCATCTATAGTTTGAGGAATAAGGATGTCAAAACTGCGTTGAGGAAAACCTTGATTAAATTCAGACGGGAAACGTTCTAATTGGAAGCAGTAATAATGTAAAGAAATTGAAGGACCTTAAATTTTTATTGGTGTTTTTCAGGAGGAGATTTTGTTCATAACCTTGTTGCTTCTACAGATTGTGTTTTGTGTGATTTACAGATTGTGTGAGGCTCATCTTCTCATTCCCCTTACAGGTAATCTTGTCTAATTTTTTTCTTTTTATATCTCTTGTACTTCTCCCAAGTTTACTAAATAAGTAACAGCATGTTTACCAAAGGAATAATATTTTTTGTTATTGTTTCATACCCTATCTCCTGGGATATTTTTAATCTGCATAAATATGAATTTTGTACATTGCAAGAAAGTAAATATTATAGTACTGTCACCTACACACCAAAGTGCCCAATATGATAGAAGCATTCTTCTCATTTTCATCAATATTATTACTGGTATAAGCAACAGAATTAAATGAACTACCTTAATTATGAGCTGTATATAACTTTGTTCTATCTTCCTCACCATTTTCTCTTTTATTATTCTAAATATTCTTATTCTTTTAAGAATTGCAAAATCTGTACCACGTGCTTCTGATATTCTCTATCAGCCTAGTCCATTTAATGTTGTTGAGAATATGTATAACTTCACTTCTTATTGCCACAGACAGCATTAACGGAGGATGATGAGAGAAATAATACCTGTGTGTCTCAAGATTCCAATAAGGGGAAGTAGTAGTTTACATTATAAAACTTTAATCCATAACTAAAAGGGCATCAAAATTTTTGCAAAAAAAAGGACATAGTTTCTACTGTAAATGCTATTTTTTATTTGTTATAGGAAAATATTGTGCATTAAGTTAGTAGAAACATTTTAGCTAATGCTTTACTTACTCAAGTAGGTTTATAATTAAAAAATGTATATTCATGATAATAAACTATATTACTACAAATGTTTTTTGTGTTGCTTTGTCTTACCCATAAGATGTGAAACATATTTAACATAGTGGTTGTTAATATAATTCTTGTTAATATAATTCACCTATATTTGTATATTTAGAATGTCAAGTATTTATGAGATCAAGGAACACTTGTTGAATTGGAGTATCTTGTTAGATAATACCAGTAATACATTTATTGCTGTAAATAATAGTTAATGATACATGACAACAATTATAATTCAGAGGAACTTACTGGGGGCTTAATTTCTATTTTTGGAGGTAGACTGTGATGGCCTTAGAAAAATAATGCTTGGCCTCTCATCAAGAGAAGCAATAGTGGGGAGTGTAGTTGACTGAAAGTCTATAGCTTATCCTTCTTTGGATCCACCCTGATGTTCAGGCAGAGTCTGTGAAATGCACTTAATGCTCCCCATTACTCCATGACTCTGAAATGCTCTTAGCAACATGGGTGGGGCTTAATTAGATGTGGTCAATTTCTGTCTAACATGGGTCCCTTCTGATAGGCAGTCTTTGCTCAGAGACTTTCTATCACCCTGACCACGCTGTGGTCTGAAATTTCCCTTCCCAAACCTCACATTTCTTTCTCTTTTCTTAGGTGACAGACTTTTATCCTAATTTAAGGCCTTCATCACTGATTCTCATTCCTTCTCATTTTATCATCCACTGGCATTTACCACAATAAATGTGTTGCAAGTCTAATCAATTTCCTGGCATTTCCTTCTTAGGGGACTCTAAATAACAAAGAGGACTTACATTAAGTGGTTTGAAAAATTTGTGATAATCAAGACAGATTGGTTTTGTTGTAAAGATAAGCAAATAAGTCCATGGCACAAAACATAGGATTCAAACAGATCTTCAATTATACAGTCAATTGACTGTTGATTAAATAACAGAGTAATTACAAAGAGAAAGGAGATGCTTTTAGGTTCTAGGCCTCACACATCATCTGCATCTGCTCAGGATCTCAGAGCTTTAGCTGCCAGTCTCCAGGTTGCTGTGGGGTTAGTGTGTTCCTGGCTGTTGACATAGAAATGAAGCCAGAGGATGCTAAAGGTGGTGGACTTCATGGAAACACTTTGTCTCTATTCCTGCTTGAAAGTCACTAACAATATAGAAGAGGGATTAAAATGGTATTAATTCACAGTGAAAAACAAAACAAAACAAAATGGTAGAATACCAACTCTAAACTTTTGGAGAGTTAGGATGTAGACAAATGAGCAGTAACTGATTTGGCATTCTCATCACATCTGACACTGAAAACATCTGTTTTACACTATTGAATCTCTCATATGCTCAGAATTTTATGGTACCAGATATCTTTGAAGACATGAAGGTGGAACAGAACAAATAGAATGGATGAAAGTCTGTTTAAATCATAATTAGATCTAGAGGTCTCTTTTATGTCTGTATGGCTAGATGGCTGCCTCCATTTAGATCCAATAAAAGACTAGAGGATCATTCCTTAAATCCTCTAGGAAAAAGAAAGTAAATCAGAGTCTCTAAATCAGGAGACTGTATGCACATGTGAGGGAGAGTTTACCACACTGACAGGAGGGTGATAAAGTAAAAGTTTCACCTCCTAGATGTTAACACCATTCACCATCTTCCTCCACTCACGCAGAGAATGTTAAAAGCTAGGATTATATCCTTTGGAAAGATTGATTCTTCTTTATTTAGTCAAATTAGTGTATGATAAAAGACCTGCTAAGAGCTCCTCCACTGAAATGGGACAGTATACAGTGAAACTCACATTTCATAAATACTAAGTGTCCACATGTAGATGCTGGTCAGCTTTTATAACCCCACTTCCAAATGTTAAGGCATGGGCAAAGATGACTTCTTTTTTTGTGTGTGTGTGACAGAGTCTCAAGCTGTCACCCAGGGTAGAGTGCCATGGTGTCACAGCTCACAGCAACCTCAAACTCTTGTGCTTGAGTGAGTCTCTTGCCTCAGCCTCCCAAGTAACTGGGACTACAGGCGCCTGCCACAATGCCCAGCTATTTTTTTGTTGTTGTTGCAGTTGTCATTGTTGTTTTAGGTGACCTGGCTGGGTTCGAACCCACCAGCCTTGGTATATGTGGTTGGTGCCCTACCCACTGAGCTATGGGTGCCGCCAACAAAGACAACTTCTAATATAAAAGATGCTGTTTGACAATCATAAATAATTTTATGGAAAGAAGCAATTTGAAGGAAATAAACCTCCAAGAAAACCTAAGAGGACAAACTATATTCCTGAATATTTGAAATAATAGCAAAAAGAAAAAAAGCAACGTCCCAAAAGAAAAAGTTGAGGTAGAGAGAATATAGCAAGGAATGAAAAGAGAAGAGTAAATAAAATAAGTGAAAAAAAAATCCAGGATTTCAGTTTCTGAATAGTGTAGGTTCCATAAAGGGAACAGAGTATGAGGAGGACCTTAGGATTCATATCATTTAAAAAATATTTATCCAAAATTAATAGTCTTGAGCTTCCTGAATGGATTTAATTAATGCTCCTCTTAGTGTATAAAGGGTCTTCAAAACATTCATAGAATGTGTATATTGTGAAAAAAGTAGACATAGATTTGAATTTTTTGCAAAAAATAATAATTTATAATAACATGTCTGAACAGGATCTAGTTTGAGGCACTAACAACGATAAGGCATCAATTTGAAAAGAACCTCTGTCAGAACAATACGAATTCTGCTAAAGTAGAAGCAAGAAAAAACATCAAATTTATCGTGAAGCTTGGGTGGAAGAATGATGAAATAATTGACATTCTATAAAAAGTTTATGGGAGAAATAATGTCCCCCAAACCAGCAATTCACAAATGGATAACTCATTATAAGAAGAGATGGAATGAAGTTGAAGGTAAAGCCCGCAATGGCAGATCACCCGCATCAATTTACTAGAAAAAAAAATTCATCTTGTTTGTGTCCTGATGGAAGGACACCAATGAGTAACAGCAGAAAAAACAGCCAACACCATGGACATCTCTCTTGGTTCAGCTTCCATAATTTGGACTGAAAAGTTGAGAAAACTATGCCCTTGATGAGTGCCCAAACCATTGCAGTTGTATCAGCTGCAGACAGATCTTTCAAAAGAACATTTAAAGTAGTGACATCAGGATCATGAAGCATTTCTTTAAAGAATTGTAACTTTCTACTATAAGTGCGATGCTGAAGACAAAGCACCATCAAAGCAATGGCTACAAGGACAGTGGAGAAAATTTAGATGGTGAGAACTCATACATATATGTGTGGGAGAGACACTATTGGCATCTAACGTGCACAGCAGGGATGCTAATGCAGCCTGTACTACACAGAACAGCATCACAGCAAAAAAATGTTCCCATCACAAATTTCAAAAGTGCTGCGATTGAGAAAACTTGATTTACCTGAATGTGGATGAGGAACAGGGAGGATACTAACATCGATCAGGCTCTTTTCATGTGTCCTGCACATTGATAACACCTTCTGTGAATTAACTCATGAGATTCCCACCACTTTATGAGATAGTTCTATTATGAATCTCAATTCATAGACATACATAGGGCTATGTAGGTACAAATATACACATAGGAAGGTCAGGGAAGTTCTATCACTTGTCTACACTCTCAAGTTAGAAAGTTAAGAAGTGTGCATTTAAATTCAGTCTGATTTGAGGGCCCAGTACCAGTCTCTTAACCACTTTCTGGCATCTCTTTATGAAGGTAAAGTCCACAGGCTTGAGTAGTGTTAAAGCTCTGATCTAATATTTCACTAACGCAGTCCCAGGAAAAGTAGCAGAAATGGCAAGTGATTGTGCCCCTGGACCTCCCTCTTGTAGAATGGTGTATAGACTCCAGGGGATGACAAGGGGGTGACAAATGGGAGCCACCCACTATTCTGCATTGGGGATTAGAATTTCCTGAGGTGAAATTATAAACTGGGTGAGTCCCAAAGGATCCGATGTTAGGTCTGTAGCACAGGACATAAACACAGGCTCAGTCATATCTCTCCCCTCAGGGGCTCATCAAACTTGGGAGGAAATTATAAAGCCGAAATAATGTTCTGTACTTCTAATCGATTCTTACAGAACTGTGGTGCATGAATAGATTTTCCTTTGAGTTAGCTGTTCAGGAGGTTTATATAAGGTAGTTGTTTTGCCCCTTGCAAGTGAAGAGAATCATATGTGCAAATTCTCTGGTAGAAATCAGGACAGAGTCCCTAGAGGACCTCTTCTAGCACACCAAAGGCTGAAGTCTGCTCTAAGGCTATTAGAGGAGGAGTCCTCATCAGAGACCTTGACCTCTCAGGACAGTGGGAGGAAGTGCCCTGAACGTCCAGCAGTAGTCAGTCTTCCAAGGTTAGGAAGGTGAGCCTTGAGTCACTCTTGATAATTTTCTTTCAAACACAAAACAATATAAATCAAGGGTTCTCAGGGGACAGAATTTAATTATTGCTCTTTCCAGCTATGATCCTTAATGAGGCCAAAGGAGGAGGCAGGGAAAGATGTGCAGACAAACTGGGAGGTCTACGAGCATTCTCTCTGGACAGTCACAGCCTGGGTCGCGGGAAGGAGGAAGGGGAAAATACTTGGAAATCACAATGAAAAGTCTTGCTTTTTAGATGCCGTCTTTTGTGTTTTCAGACAACCCTGAGATTTTAAACCACCAGCTTCAGCTCCCTTTCTGGAGACAGAGTGGGGATCCATTGTTAATGTCACCTCTACCCCTGTTCCTACAGATCACATCTATGGAATGATGGCTGTGGAAAATGCCTCTTCAGTGACGGAGTTCATTCTTAGGGGATTAACAGATCAACCTGAGCTCCAACTGCCCCTGTTTTTTCTGTTCTTGGTGAACTACGTGGTCACTGTGGTGGGAAACTGGAGCTTAATTAATCTAATTGGACTGAATTCTCACCTTCACACCCCCATGTACTTTTTCATCTTCAATCTGTCCTTCATTGATTTCTGTTACTCATTTGTCATTACCCCAAAAATGCTGATGAGCTTTATTTCAGACAGGAACATCATCTCCTATACCGGATGCATGACTCAGCTATTTTTCTTTTGCTTTTTTGTTAACTCTGAGTGCTACGTGCTGACCGCCATGGCCTATGATCGCTATGTGGCCATCTGCAAGCCCCTGCTGTACATGATCACCATGTCCCCTCAGACCTGTTCTCTGCTGATGTTTGGCTCATACGTGATGGGGTTTGCTGGTGCCACAGTGCACACAGGGTGTATGATCAGCCTCACCTTTTGTGATTCCAACACCATCAACCACTACATGTGTGACATCTTCCCCCTCCTCCAGCTCTCCTGCAGCAGCACCTATGTCAATGAGCTGGTGAGTTCTGTTGTTGTGGGCACAGTTGTTATGGTATCTAGCCTCATTATCATCATGTCTTATTCTTTGATTCTTTTCAATATCCTTCACATGCCCTCAGCTAAGGGTTGGTCCAAAGCCATCAGCACCTGTGGCTCCCACTTAATAACTGTTGGGCTCTTTTATGGATCTGGGCTGCTCACTCACGTTAAGCCATCATCTGGTGGGTCCCTGAGCCAGGGGAAATTTTTCTCAGTGTTTTACACCAATGTGATTCCCATGTTGAACCCTCTCATTTACAGCCTGAGGAACAAGGACATCAAACTTGCTCTGAAGAAAACCCTGAGGAAAATTACAAATTGAGTATAGATTTGGTGCTGCTTTAGTGTCACCGTTGCTGTGTCTTTTTCTCCTCTTCCTTCTCCCCCTGGTCATGTTCCTCTTATTCTTTTCCTTTTCTTCATTGTTCTAAAGTTTTATTGGAAAGATTTCCACTTTAATATCCTCTTTTTCTCTCCATGCAATGTTACTGATCTGTTCCTGGACTTGGGAGGCATCTCGGTCCCACGGTGACCCCAACCTGATCCTTAGTCTCCTCACCAGAAGGAGATACTGAGCTTCTATCCTTTCCTATGTAAGTAAGGATTATGATTCCTGCATTTTTTTCTCATGTGAATGAGAATGCAAGATAAGCCAGGGAGTTGGATGCTCTGTGACAACTTTTTTCTTTCTTGTTTTCTCTGAAACAATTACAGAGAGTCCTTTCTGCTTTTAAAGGTATTAGTATTATTTAATACTTCATTAATACTGAGAAGGGATAATGAAAATTGTGAGGACATGAGTAAATTTGTAAAAATTTCCAGAATATTTCACGCTCATTTTAGTAATGGTTCTTATTATGAATTTAGAGCCTCACATCTATAATGGAACCATATACCTTATTGGACTGAGGTTCTCTTATTATGAATATTTGTGGATGGATGAGGCTCACCACTGCACTCACCGTAATGACAGTTCATTCATCTACTTTTATTTTGTAGTAATAGAATTGACATTTCCACTGACTTGTACATGTATATGTACATGATAGTGATTTAAAATTATACAGTAATATGTTTGGTGATTGAATAGTGTCACATGTAACGTCAAAATTCTTTGCCTAGCTGTGTAACAAAGATCCCATTTGGAAAGGAAGACCTAATACTTCCTTTAAAAATAAACAATAATATGTGTCATGAACCTTGTTTGATCGAGATTTATTTTCTCAATTTCTAAATTAGACTTCTCCCCTTTGTTTCATGAAAGAAAAAATTAAACATGAAAACTATGTTGTGTGCCAACTTTTTTCAAAGCCTATAAAATGTTAAGTCTCCTTGTCATGTTCTTCATTTAAGGAAATGGTATTTGATTTGCTCAGTCCACAAAGCTAATGCTGCAGACCTTGAATTTGAACCCATTATCCATTTCATGAAGAAATGGAAGAAAAGAAAGGAGAATTGTGAAGGAATAAAGAAAAGTGGAGAGTTATTTCAGAATGGGCCTGAAAGTGGGGATTATTTGGGAATGATGACCTCAGTTGGATACCTATAGTAGAAAGATGATAGTCCATGTTTTCAGACCCAAATGGAAAAATGTTCATGTCTCTGCAAAAGTTTGAATGAGTGAACTACAAAGAAATCCTTCATACAGATCTTTTTGTAATAATGATCATTTTCTGAAATGGTGAGGCTGAAGAATTTAAATTAAGCCTTCCTTGTAAGACATGGAATTCCTAGGAAGGCTTAATAGGGCATAATATCTAATATGTTTGTTATAGTACATGGATTATGCCATCATTTGGAAACCAAAATGAGTTATTTATAATAAAAACAGTGGAGAAGTTTTCAAGATTTTATTTTGTGTGTTGCACAGAAGTTATACTTTCAATTGGCAGTTACCACTTTGGATAAAATCAGGGTAAGACGCCTTCCAAAGAATATGTCATAGGCAGGAGAAATAGGTAATTATTGCTGTAAGTTTTATATTTATGCAAAGAGAATGCTATTTTTGAAAAGTTCTAAAACATTGGTATATAAGAATATCCTTATATTGGCTCAGAGCCTATAGCTCAAACAGCTGGGGCGCCAGCCACATACACCGGAGCTGGTGGGTTCAAATCCAGCCTGGGCCTGCCAAACAACAATGACAACTACAACCAAAAAATACCTGGGTGTTGTGGCAGGTGCCTGTAGTCCCAGCTACTTGGGAGGCTGAGCCAAGAGAATTGCTTAAGCCCAAGAGTTGGAGGTTGCTATGAGCTGTGACACCCAGGATGACACCTTGAGACTCTATCTCAAAAAAAAGAATATCCTTAGATGATGATGCTGCCAGTTAAGTAATTTATTTCAATGTAATTAAATTTACTGCTCTTACAGCAGTCAAGTATTTGTATTTACTATAATATTTATCTCATAGTTTTAATATTGTTTAAAAATTTTATTCTTCAAGCAAAATCTGAATGTCTAGTTTTTGCCCTTATCCTTCTTTTCCCTACATTCCTTTTTTTTTTTTTTTTTTTTTTTGGCTAGGGCTGGGTTTGAACCTACCATCTCTGGTATATGGGGGGCTGGCGCCCTTCTCCTTTGAGCCACAGTTGCCACCCTTCCCTACATTCTTTATAGTGCCTTATTAAAATTGTTTAGTTTGCATTTTGCTCTAAAGTATGTATTTTAGAAGTTCATATGCATTTATAAAGCTATAGAAAGAGATGTAGAATATCCATGTCTATAAACCTTTCTTATCAAAAAGGTAAAATGTAAATTACAAGCATTGTATGTACTTTGTGGTCTGAATACTGCACAGGAGTAGCCATCAATCCTTGGTAGAGAATGAATCAGTCTATAGATTTACTGAGATCTGTGAAGTCAAGAGGCTTATTTTTCAGGTAGAATTTCTTGTATTGACTGGCAAGAGTAATTAATTTAACTTTTTAATTAAGATCATCATTATAAGACTTACAACTGAAATTATTTAAAGCCTATTATTTCTTTTTTTTTTATTAAATCATAGCTGTGTACATTAATACAGTCATGGGGTACAGTGTGCTGTTTTTATATACAATTTGAAATATTTTCATCGGACTGATTAACATAGTCTTCATGTCATTTTCTTAGTTATTGTGTTAAGACATTTATATTCTACATTTAGAAAGATTCACATGTACCCTTATAAGATGAATCATAGGCGTGATCCCACTAATCACCCTCCCTCCACCCATCCTCTCCCCTCCACTCCCCTCTATTATTTCTAAAAGTAAATATACTGAGAAAATCAGATGCAAAGTAATTTAGGATGTATAAGCTTATTTCACAATTATTTTATGTTTAGAAGTTTTGTATGTGTAATTTTGTAAAGGTGTAGTATTTTTTTTTATGGTTTTTTTTTTTTTTTTGAAGTTTTTGGCCAGGGCTAGGTTTGAACTCACCACCTCTGATATACGGGGCCAGCACCCTACTCCTTTGAGCCACAGGTGCCGCCCAGGTGTAGATATTTTTGAATACGTCTTTTTTATCCCCTTGTTGTATCATAGTTTCTCTGTACACACAAATGAACTGGAAAAAGTTTGTTTTACTCACATTCAATCCTATATATACATATATTTAAAAAATGGCAAATCTTTTTTGTCACGTAAAAGTTTAACTATTTGTAATTTGTTTTAAGTGGAAATATGGTTTAACTTTTAGAGAAAAAACCAAGTTAGAAATCTCAGAACCTCTGTATTTTAATGCTCATGGAGTGATGCCTGCTTACCAATCAAGTTCATTTCATCACCCGAAGGAACTGAAATATTTTCAGGACCTTGATTTGACACAGCACCGAGGCTGACTTGCTAATGGAAAGGTTTTTTTTTTTTTTTT